GCAAGTATAGGCATGCCTCCATATGAGGCATTGTATGGGAGGAGATGTCGTACACCGTTGTGTTGGGATGAGGTTGGCATGGCCAAACTCGAGAGCACGGAATTGGTGGAGATCACCAAGTCTAAGGTGAAGATGATTCGTGAGAGACTTAAGGCGGCCCAGGATAGACAGAAAAGTTATGCCGATAAGCGCCGAAGAGCCTTGGAGTTTAAGGTGGGAGATGAAGTATTTTTGAAAGTTTCACCTTGGAAGGGAATCATCCGATTTCAGAGCCGATGGAAACTTAACCCACGATACATAGGGCCATTCGTGGTTCTTGAGAGGATTGGGGCCGTGGCATACCGATTACAGTTGACTCCAGAATTGTAGAAGATACATAACGTATTCCACGTGTCCATGCTTAAGAAGTATATGCCGGATCCATCTCATGTATTAGAAAAACCACCCGTGGAAATACGAGAAGACTTGAATTATGCCGTGCAACCGGTGAAGATACTTGACAGGCAGGTCAAGAAATTGAGAAGCAAGAAAGTTCCAATGGTTAAAATCCTTTGGAAAAGTGACCGAGTCGAGGAGGAAACTTGGGAGACGGAAGCTTTGATGAAAGAGCAATACGCGTTTTTATTTGAATGAGCATTGTGAATTTCGGGGACGAAATTCCCGTTAAGGGGGGGTGAACTTGTAACACCGACCCCGAGCATATTTACTTTTAGTAAATTATGTAATGAACCTTGAAAGATGATTTGTGAATTTGCGTAATGGTAATTTTTTATTATTTCTTTTACGTGAATAGTAAATTGCATGTGGGGCCCACAGCGGGAACGAGGACCGCCCGATAATTCCCGAACCACATATTATATTCATCTTGGTCTAGATAATATGTATATGGTGGTGGATATTTTATTTGGGCCATAAGAAAGGCATGGAGTTGACCGGTTGGTCAAACGGGGCCCAATTACCGGTATTGGTAATTTAGCGAATAACAGCCCGAAATGAGTTTCGGGGACTCCTAAATTAATGTTGGGGAATGTGCATCTATTCTAAAGGCCCATAATTATTAGGAACACGTGATGTATTTTATTTGGCCCGATAAAATAAAATATGACTAAAATAGTCCGAAAAATACAACTTTCGGGGTCGATTGTACATACCGGGACATAATGGGATGACCTCCCACATAAGGGGGGTCACCCCACGTTGTTAGGTGCCCAGATTGACAAATTAAGGGGGAGGGGCGTGCATGAGGAAGCCTCATGGAGACAAAGCCTACACCCACCCATTAACTCCCTTGTCTTACTCCCTCAATTATCTCTCAAATTGATTGAGGAGAAGATATCCCCCCATTCCATTTCACACGCACAAGCCTACCACAAGAGAGAGAGGAAGCTCTGGAGTTGACTTCTACAAACCTCAGCCACAGTTGGAGGAAGCTAGGAGGAGGGAAACCCAAGAGAAACTAAGTTAAAAGAAAGGTAAGAATTCAAATAGTTCTTTTAACTAGTTTTTGGTGTATGATTTGTGAGGAATCATATGATGGATTAAACATGATGTTATACACGTTTAAAAGTGTAGAATATTGATATAAAGTGGTGATATTTAACTTAGAAGAGTTGGTGAATCGATAGGAGTCGAAATCGCCGGAAACCGCCACTTTGAGGGAGCTGCTCGTTTCTGCAGAACACGAAAGCCGCCCGGCTTTCGTGAAAGCCACCCGGCTTTTGCCCAGCAGTTCAGTTCTACACCTTCAATCGGCCTAGAACGGGGATTGATCGAGGGGCTTAGCAAAGGCAACTATCTCAGCACTTCATAAGGTGAAGATGGCTGACTATATTGCTTATAATTAGTGAGTTAGTTTCATGAGATTACCGAAGGTAATTAAATGTGTTTTTACGGATTATTAATGATTAATAATGCCTAAAAATGAAAAGACTAAATGTCTAGAGAAAAAGGAGCATGATATACAAATTTAGGGGTAAATTGTGTATGTTCATGTGTTATGAGTATGTTGACTTGAAAGTGGAATTTATTATGAAACATGTGTTGAAATATACTTTTTTCTTCATATTAGAATATATGAGTGATTAAAAGTGATATTTTGGATATTGAGATAAATGATATTTTCAAAGGAAAATCAGTTGGAATTGTCTATATGACTATGAGTTGAGAACTTGGTTTGTTGATATTAATTTGACTAGTATTAAGATACTAGTTGGACATTAAGATGAAATGTTGTTAAGATTGATCCTAAGGTTGGATTGTGAAATGTCATGCCTTAAGTAGTCTTAAGAGATGCTTTAAGGTAGGAAAGTATGAACTCTAAGTTATACTAGGGGTAGGCCTTAAGGGATACCCAAGATAAAGTAAATAATAAATTGATCCTAAGTATAGGATTGGCCTACGGGTGTGTTCGGTAGTCCTTGTGGATAGCCGGTTGAATTATGGAAATAGTAAGGACCATGGCCCTTCCCGACTCTAGAGAGCGGGGTTGAATAGCATGGACTTACATCGTGATCACGGGTTAGGGTGGAATCCGAATCGGAGACCTAACCAGGTTCCGGTAGCGGTAACACATAAGATAGGACCCCGAAGGGCCTTACCTTCCTACGGGAAGATGGGTACGAGTCCAGGGGTGGGATGTTGGAGTCCGAACCGGGAGCCTCATGAGGTCTCGGACAGCGGTAGCAAGTCCCGTAGAAATAATAAGACCCAAGGGTTGGGTTGTGCAAATGATAAATGAAAAGAAACATATAAGAAGGGCCGTGTGCCGACAGATAAATAAATTCACTTATTATAAAGATAATAAGTGGGAAATATAAATTGTTATTTATATTATGATATCACCCTATTTTGAGGGTCTTGGAAATTAAACGTTGATTATACTTAGTATAGTTGCTATTGTACTTGTCAAATATTTCCAAGTACTGACCTCCCCTTCACGGGGGAGGCCACCTCACAGTTTCAGGTAGGACTTGAAGGTTGCTACCGGTGCCCGTTGCTCGGGATATTCAGAGGAGAAGACGTGGTTCGTGCTTCTTCTGTTTCCTGTTTTCAAAACAATTATAACAATGCTCATGGATATTATTTTTGAATAATTATTTGGGGGCTTGTATGCCCATGTTTGCCAAAGTGTGGCTAAGACATTGTTATTAAATGCTTCCGCTGTTTTAAATGCATGTTTTACATTATGTTTGTTTATGGATGTACTATGTGTGAATGATATTCATGACGCCTTGTATAATGTGGATGAGTTGGACTGCGGTCGACTATTCGTACTGTACGGCGGGTTGTTGACGTGTCCGGCTAGGTCCGGGGCGTGACAATTTAATTGGTATCAGAGACTTAGTCCGTAAACATCATAATGAAGCTTCAAAATGCTTTTTGAAAAAAAAATTGAAAACCATGAGCATAAAGTTTTGTACTTATAGAACTTTTGGTACTTGAGTTGCAATGCCTCTAATTGTTAAGATGGTACCTTTAACAATTGGCATGGCGGTGATTTGAGCCAAAGGATGTCTTTAAGTGCCTATCCGTCAATTGACATTTGATACGAGTCTAATGACTCATTCTAAATTTCTTTCAGAAATGGAACGTACCGGGAAGGTTACTCGACGGAACCTGACTGGCCAAGCACCGGGAGGATCCCAACGTGGCAGTCGGGGAGGATCGAGGGTGTCTAGGAGACAAGGCCGTGCAGGCCACTCGCTGACCGTGAGTGACGGTCATGTGGAAACTATAGACGAGCACTATGAGTCCGAGGAGGATTCAACTTACCAGCCGGGAACCGAGCCGGCTGAGACCCCATATGATGGGGAATACGATGATGCTAGCGACGAGAGCGATGATAATGAAGCTCTCGAATGGCGGTTGGATTCCAAAACTTAATAAACAAAACAATCTTGCTTCACCCTGAAAATAAACATCATCAATTAGAACTGAACGCCGGTTGCACAAGAACTGAACGCCGTGGGGGTCGATTTAGCTGCGAAATAACGCCGGTTGCAGAACAACTGGACGACGGTCTGGGGAAGAACACCTATTGCAGCGCCTATTCTTCGAGCGCCGGGTTGGGGGTGGAACGCCGCCGGGTTGGGGGGCGGTTGGCGGGGACGAGTCGTCTGTGGTGAGGGGTTGGGACAAACTCAACGGTTGCAAAGATGAAGGGAAAGGGAGCGGAACTGCGGAAGAATCGTCTATGGCGCGGGATGAAGGGAAGGGTTGCGCGAAGTGGAGGAGAGGGAGTTTTTTTTAGATTGGGTGTGGTTTTTTTTAGAAGTACGCGCGTGTGGTTTAGATGGGGAAAGTGGGTATTTTTTTGGGAAGTATTTATAGTGTGTATGTGTGTGTATAAAAGTGTGTAACAATAGACTTTTTGTTGGTTCTTGTTATTCATTACTCCGTATACAAAACCACTTTTTATATTGAAAAAAACGAGACCATCAATTCGCTGATACAATCATATATCTTCCCGTTCCTTAAAATTCTTCTCGCTTACCTTTTTGGGATGTTCCTATTTTTTTTTCTCATTTTCATTTTTAGAAAGTATTGAGTGGCTAACACTCATTTACATTTTCCATTTATTCTAACTAATTTATAGAGACATAGGGAGTAAGGATCAATTGCTGATTGTCAAACTAATCAGTACTTTATTTGCGTACTAGAGTGTTTAAAAATGAAAACAAAAACCATGGGTTTATAGCATGACTCGAGTATTGAAAACAGAATTATCAAAAAATGTGGCTGCTGGGATTCGAGCCCAGGTCTCCACGGCCACAACGTGGAATTCTTACCACTAAACTACAGCCACTTGTTGACTTAACGTTCTTGCTAAAAGTATTTGTACATTACTTGCGTTCCCTTTTAACAGGTTAGCGGATTAGTTTTCACTTTTCAATTTTCAAGCGTTCGTAACCGCGCCAAATGACCCCATTCACGACAAAGCACAATCCGCGACTACGATGTTTCCAACCAACTCTATCCGTCGATGTATCTCTGATAGACGCTCCATATTTACCTACTGTCTCTCAGGCGGATCGAAATTGCTACCCGTGGATTATGTAATTCCAATGGACGGTTTAGATTCAACTCACCATCCACTTATCTGGCAATAAAAGGCGCACCCACCTTCCCTTCAACCCACCGCGAATTTTCTGAGTTCCCTCTCTCAAGTTTGAAGTTTTCATATTACCGATCTGCAAAAATGTCAGGCCGTGGTAAGGGCGGTAAAGGATTGGGGAAGGGCGGAGCCAAGCGTCACAGGAAGGTCCTTCGCGACAACATCCAGGGCATCACTAAGCCCGCCATTCGCCGTTTGGCTCGCAGAGGCGGCGTGAAGCGTATCTCCGGCCTCATCTATGAAGAAACCAGAGGAGTTCTCAAAATCTTCCTCGAGAATGTTATCAGAGACGCCGTCACCTACACTGAGCACGCTCGTAGGAAAACTGTGACAGCGATGGATGTCGTCTATGCCCTCAAGAGGCAGGGAAGGACCTTGTACGGATTCGGAGGGTAGAGATTTGCGGAAATTCAATGTTCATCTGATCTTAATGGAAATGAATTTAGCTGCTTGATTTCGATTTAGCTGCTTGATTTCGAAGCTGTAGTTAGTTATCTTACCTCTGTATTGTGTTTGATGAATCAGAACTTCTGTATCTGTTTCAACAGTTATATGAAGCGATACTTTTTCTTATATCTCCGTCTTCTTCTCGTTTCTATCAGATTTGATATGTTTGGGTGATTCAATCAGGTTTTAATTTCAATTGATGATATTTTTGCGCATTTTGCGTAACTGTTACTTTCTAGATTCCAGTTTCTGAAACTATGAGCGTTCGACTTCTTTTGCGTAATTCGAAGAGATGTAGATATAACCAGTCCAATCTCCATCTACTGGATCATTCAACTGCCCTGTGCGTGGGGCGATATATTACAGTGACGAAATTTGAAATGCTATTGTTATCCGCAGTTCTTAAATCTCTCGAGAACTGTATTCTGATTTGTAACGTGTATGAACAAATTAATTGATACTGCAAGTTTGATTTTTAAGTTTATAAAAAGACTCTGAGTTAATGAATTTAGCTGTAATAAAATCATGTTTTCATATCTTAATCTGTAACTAAGTAATGATTAAGCCATTTGCATTGGTTGTCTACACTATGTAGCTCCCTCGACTCTAGAAATTAAAAAAAACTGTAATATTCGAGAAAGTTTTTCAGATTATTTAACTGCTTAAGAAATGTTGGAAGAACATAATCGAGAGTTGAGACCTGGAAATTGAGTTGGCTCAACTTGAAACTTGAAAGGTATTTTTCGTCTAGTTTTTCTTTTTCTAGAGTTTAGTTAAAATATTGGGTACAAGTTACAAACTTCTTAGGTCCTCAAAACACGAAATCATTATCTTAAAGTTTCAAGGGAGATTTTCCCAAATTGGACTAAATAAAAGAATAATTGCAATATTAAGAGTTTAAAGTTTTAAATTCTCAAAATTCCCAATTTTATTTTTTACTCCATTGAGTTTCGAATCTGAAACCTCCTGTAAGGGAGAGTGAGTCGGTGACCAGCTGAGTTGACCCGCTTCGTTCCTATTCTATCGTTTCTCTTGTCCTTCTTAATAGGTTTTTTAAATAATCCATATAACATATAAGAATATTAAAATAAAAAAATAAATAAAAAATATAGACACCTCAACCACCAGCTCAGCCACCTTCAAGCACCGTCGCCTTGGGTTGTCGGAAAAGATTGTCAAGTTACTGAAAAAAATGTCATAATGATGCCAATTTTGAAAAGAAAGCTCATATTTTTAAAGAGTAAAAATGTCATATTCATGACATTTCAGAGAAATATGACATCTTTTACATAAGATGACATTTTTTTCCGGCGATCGAAGATGGTGATGCTAGGAGGTGGAGGATGTGGAGGTAGTGCACTACATATTTTTCTAGATGCGGGTACCCCTTATCGCCTTACCTATTTATCCTAGTGGCTGAGGGGCTAAGTGCTATGATTAGAAGATAGGAGAATATGGGCAATATGTTAGGCATTGTTGTGGCTAAAGGGGCACCAAGAGTGTCTCATCTTTTCTTTGCTGATGATAGTTATTTATTCTTTAGAGTCAGAAATGGGGAGTGTGATGCGTTGAAGAATATTCCCCAAATCTATGAGGCTAGCTCGGGACACAAGGTAAATTTTCGAAAATCCTCTATTATGTTTAGCCCGAATGTGCAAGAAGAATTGCAAAATGATATATGTAATGAGTTGGGGGTTAGTGAAGGTGAAGCGGGTAGAAATTATGTGAGGCTACCGGCTCTTATTGGAAGAAATAAAAAAGTTATATCGGGATATTTAAAAGAGTGTATTCGTAGCTGGAGTAACCGTTTTTGTCTAGAGCAGGTTGAGAAATAATGTTGAAAACGGTTATTAAGGCTCTGCCTTCATACACCATGAATGTTTTCTTACTACCCAAGGAATTATGTTCAAAAATTGAAATCATAATGAATGACTACTGATGGAGGGGATCTGGCCAGTCGAGCATAGGCATTCAATGGAAGGGTTAGCAGGCTTAGTGTATTCCTAAACATCAAGGAGGGATGTGATTTCGTTCTATTAGAGGGTTTAATATAGCCATGTTGGGCAAACAAGCTTGGCGGTTAGTTAAAAACCCAAAGTCCCTAGTTGGTCAGATATTTAAAGCTAAATATTTTCCTTAGTCTTCTTTCTTATGGGCTAAACTAGGGAACAATCCATCTTTTATTTGGAGTAGCATTTTCCGGGCCCAGGAAATGTTAGAAAAGGGTATCAGGCGGAAGGTGGGAATGGCCAAACTATATCTGTTTGGAGGGAGTAGTGACTGCCAGGGAGAGGGATCGGGTCGAGTTCTGCCCCCCCCTCCCCCACCAGAGGGTGTTGCAGACATGAATGTGGCAGCCTTATTAAATGAGGAGGGGGTGATTGGAATGTCTAGAGGGTGGAAAATATTATTTCTGTTGAGGAGAGAAAGGCTATTTTATCGATTCCCATTAGTAAAAGACGTCCTCAAGATGGAGTTTGGTGGAGTGGGGATTCTAGAGGTGTCTACACGGTTCGCAGTGGGTACAGAATGCTGTGGGAAGATATCACTAGTCAAAGTTGGGTGGAATGGGTGAAGGTGTGGAATCTATGAATACCGTCTGAAATAAAATGTTTTATTTGGCAACTAATGTGTGGAGTACTACCAACGACGGTTAACCTTCAGAAAAGGAGAGTAGAGGTGGACAACAAATGTGTCTTTTGCAAATAAGAGGATGAAACCAAGCTACATCTGATCAAGCAGTGTCAAGTTCTATCTAGCTGCTTGAGCAAGCTAGGAGCACAGTCTTGTGCAGTTTTGTGGCAACACTCTAGAGTATATGGAAGGTAAGCAATGACAAAGTCTAGAAGAGTGTGACAATCAGTTGGAGGTAGATTCTGGAGATTGGATCTTCAATGATACGAGGATGGAATGCAGCAAGGAGGGGAAGATGTTAATACTCGTCCAAGGGAGGACAAGTCTAATTGGAAAAGACCGGATCCGGGCGTAATAAAAATCAATATAGACGCGCCGTTACATCAGGACCGAGGTAAGAGAGCATGGGCCTTGCTAGCAAGGGATGCAGATGGGAATTTTCTCCGAGGTGGATGCCAGACAGTGACATCAGATTGGTCGACTGGAGTAACGGAAGCGGTAGCGGTAAGGGTGACACTATCAAGAGCGGCTCCACTAGGTTTTGGAAGGCTTAAGGTGGAAACAGATTCACTTATGGTTGCAGCTGGTATTGTGGATCGGGAGGACGATTCATTCTTTGATAGTATCATTAAAGATATTAGACTTATTCTTTGTGATGAAGCAAAGATAGAAGCCATTCACTGCAGTAGATCCGCGAATGGAGCAGCTCACAAACTAGTTAGGGCTGCAGTTTCTATGTCAGATGGTTATGTTGATTTGTATTCTACTCATGTTTGCATTGCCAGTCAATCAGAAATCGATAAAATAAATTAATATAATTGCTAGTTTTCCTTCAAAAAAATCTGTGAGTTAATGAATTTAGCTGCAATAAAATAATGTGCTTATATCTTAATTTGTAACCAATTAATGATTAATTCATTTGCATGATTGTCTACACAATAATGTAGCTCCCTTGACTCTAGAAGTAAAAAATTATGTAATATTCGAGAGTGTTTTTCAGATTATTCAACTGCTTAAGAGATGTTGGAAGAACTGAATTGAGAATTGAGATCTGGAAATTAAGTTTGGCTCAACCTCAAAGGTATTTTTAGTCAAGTTTTTATTTTTCAAGACTCGAAATAAAATATAAAAAAGTCTTGGTGTGCACCCTAAGTTACACCCTGGGGTACACCATATATAAGGCTTGATTTTTTTACCCCATCCTCCTACACCTTTCACACACACGCACGTGTGTCTTGAGCTCCAAAAAAAAACCACCTCTCTCCAACTCGAAAATTGTACCCTCTTTCCCGCATCCCCAAGCGTTCCGGCTCCACCTTCCTCACTTCGCACAGCAACCGCTCCGGCCAACATCCCACTCGTTCTTTGTCTTTCCCTCATTTGTCGAACCCATGACCGACCTCCATCTCTGTCATTGGTTCTTTTTCCAAGCACAAGGAACAATGACCAGCTTCCATCTCTGTCGTCGGTCTGTCTTCCAACACCGCGGGAGCTTGCCACTGTTGAAGACGGTGAGACGAAACCCAGAGTTGCAAACATGGTGCGAACCAGCCTCTCCGAAATGGCCGAACGGTATGTATGAAGTCATATATCCATTTTTTTGTTTTACATTTTATATTTGACTTTAATATAGTGATACACATGTTTACCATTTCTTCAATGTCAGTTTCTTGTGTTTTGAAAAAGAAAAGAAATGGAAGTTACAAAAAAAAATTGGTTGTATGTGTCTTCCAATTGCGGTGTTTGTGTGACCTTAGGGTTTGAGTAGTAGGTGTTTGTGAGGTGTTGTTTAAGATTACAGAAGTGCCTGTGAGTTTTATTTGTGATGTTTATGCGATTGTGGTAAATCATTGAATGAATTCATTATGCAACGACTGTGGTTAATCATTAATCTGGTTAATCTTTGAAAATTAAATACAAAATGGGAAGTTAGAACCAATACAACCTTGTTTGTTGTTTCAAAATGCAGTGTTTGTGTGCCTTTACAATTTGACAAGGAGTTGTTTGTGCGTTGATATGTAAGATTAACGAAATTTATGTTAATGGTATTTGGATGAATATACAAGAATTTGGGTATATATTTGAATCTCTATACTTCCATGTTGGACTAAATGTATGGTTTGAATATGTATGCTTCGAATTTGAGAGTTTCAAGAAGTACCCTTGGGCGTTGGAATCATACAATTTGACCGTGACTCACATGAAGTCGCTGATGGTAGACCAACCGAAGGAGTTTCAAGGAAAACAAGGCCGACAATCCAGTGTACCGCAACACGACATTTACGGTGTATGGATTCCCACATATGTTACAGGTATGTTCAAAATTAAACACACCTACTTAGTATATTTAATAACAAAACAATTAATCACTACTTTTGCCATTTGTATAGGTTTGGGCGTACGAGAATGTACCAAACTTGGGAAATGTGTTTGCTGAAAAAGTTGCCGAAGAGCCTGGTTCCATGCATAACCGGAAAGCAGAAGGATATTTTCACGCTTCAAAGATTCAGGAAAAAGTCTTCTTTGAGGTGATTTTACTAACCCACGTGACTGTGTGGAGACAAAATCTGTCTACTCCCGTGTTTGAGTGGTTATTTTTTGTTGTAGGAGCGTGATTCGTCTTCCCATGATGCTGGGGAAGAATCTTCAAACAGACCGTGAAACAAATTTTATGTGCACAGGGACATTTGATCGTGGTTGAAGAAATGAAAAAACTAAGGTCGTGTATTGAAGGTTTGGAGACTCGACTGCAGCTTGTTGAAGGCAGCCTTGCTGAAATGAAGGCGTTGGTCGTTGCAGGATTCGGAAAATTTTATCAAAACGCTGATGTGCGTCCCCTTTTTGGAGATGATGAGGTAAACATGTATCCCGTTAGTACTTATTACTAATGTCGGTGTGAACCGATGCTTCAGTTGATTTTGTCTGTGTGTACTGGCAAAACTTGTGTGTTTTTTCAGCCTGTTGGAGAAGGAAGCCCCCCACTTGATCAAGGAGGTTCTCATTCTAGTGTGAACCCCCTTTCTGGAGAGGATGAAGTAAGCATGTATATGTTAGTACTTATTACTAATGTCAGTGCGAATCGATGTTTTAGTTGATTTTGTCTGTGTGTACTGACAGTAATACTTGTGTGTTTTTTCAGCCTGTTGGAGAAGGAAGCCCCCCACTTGATCAAGGAAGATCTCATACTGGTGTGAACTCCTCTTTCTGGAGAGTTTGAGGTAAACATTGTTGACTATAAAATTTCCATATTTATACCCAAATACTTAATAATGATCAACAAACCAATTGTAAGAAGAATATATGTTACAAATAAGTGTTGTAAAATTCATGTGTCAAACCTCATATCATTAGTCATTACATCTTTTGTCAAGTCTATTATGTCATTAACTTTAGTTATACAATTATAATATTTAATTTGAATGAGAAATTATATTAATTTGTTTTGTTTAGTTTTTTATAATTTCTTCACCACTTTAGAACTATGGTAAAATCCCAAATTAAAAGTAAAAAAAAAGTGAACAATTTGTTAAATATGCTTGCTTCTAAGAATCCATTCATTGTGTTTAACTAATCATATGCATTACTAATATTTTTTCTCACACAAACTGCAACTTTATAAATGTCAGTGGAACTGATGGTTCACTTGATTTTGTCTGTGTGTACCTACAGTAATATCCATGTACTTTTCAGGCTGTTGGAGATGGAAACCCTATGCATTGTAGTCCCAAGAGTGACTCTGTTGAGCACATGGATGAAGACCATATGATTGAGGAAGATGGAACAGAAGAAGGGTCGATTGAAGACGTTGGAGATGTGACTAATATTGAGATTGAGCAAAGCAATGAGGTTGGGGCCGTTGGTGACTTTATGGTTGTGAATGATGAACCAAATATATGAAGCTAGTTGATTTATGACTCGGTTTTTGTACCCTTTTAACCATTTCTGTCCCTAGTTATAAGTAAACAATCACATGTTTGTAGGACAATGATGACAAAACTGGTAGTGCAGACCACATTATCAATAATGTGGTAACTAAGGTATCATACTTTAAAAGTTTTGCATTTTTCTTTGTGATTTAGCAATGTGTGTTTCTTGAAGTTGTCTACCATTTTATAATTGAGGATGAACAGTGAAGACAAAATAGGACATCACCTCTTTGAAGAGTGTCATACACCAACCAATCTCATGCTCTGCAGATCTGAGGTGAACCTTATGTGTGTACTCAAATATTTGTACATATAAACACTATGAAGGAGCTTGTCTGTAAGCACAAACAGTTTGTCAAACATTGTGTATTTACACACACACTTTGACAAATTTAATCACTATCAAATTCAAGGTCTATGAAAAGAAAAATCTTACATTTCACAAATAAAAATCAGCTTCTCAAGTGCACAGACCGATAGTATGTAATCATTTTGCTGTTTTAATGGTGGTGGTTTCAGTAGTTGTCTATGTCCACAGACTCTACAATTAGTATTGTTGCTTTAGACAAGCAATACAAAATTCAAAATACTTGCTTACAGTATGTGTGTTATTGTGTTAATGTGTTGTTTGTTGTTGATAAATTTCCTGAAATAAGTACAAAGGCTCCATTTGAAAATTTCGACTGGGATGAGGTCGTTGATGAAGGTGGGTCGACTATAATACACGTTCTGGCACTTGAGGAGCAAAGCCGCCAAGAAAATCTAAAAAGAAAAAGAAAGTGTTCTAAGTACAAGTGTAGCCCATTCAACGATCCAACAAGAAAGCGGGCCAAAGGACAAAACCTGAACCCAAACCCAACATTTGTAGACATACATGACGACAAGTGGGTAGGGTTGAAGAAGTGGATTGAAGAGGATGACAGCCTAGAACCAACCATTGTTGTCCTTGATATTCCAGGCTTTAATGAAGTGAACCACAAGTTTTTCCGAGAGCTCATTGAACCGGATGAGTGGTTGTGGACTCAAGTAAGTAACTACACCACGAATATTGTGTGAGTACGTTTAATACATAATCCATGTAAGTAGAATTCATTGAAGAGTCACTTCTTTACTTAATTATTTCAGCACATAGACACCATTGGGTCACTTTTAAAGAAGTTCATGGCGAACAAGAAAATTGAAATCACTAGTCCCTACTTTACGGTATTTTACTTAATCAATTTCCTGAACTAGTGTAACGTGTTAATACCAATGCAACATTTCATTTCATCGACTAATGTAATGTGTTAATATAGCATAAAATCCCGAAGAAGGACATTAATATTGTTGAGCACTGGGCTGGAGACAGGTTACTTCCGCTAGTTAATTGGTCATCTTTTTAAAAGGTAATTCTGTGAAATGTCAGTGAAACTTTTGTTTCTGTCTGTGTGCACCAACAGTTTATGTGTCCAAACATTTGTTCACTCTCTGTGTGCACCAACATTTTCTTCGTAAATGCATGTATTAGGTTTTAATGCCATTGAATCTGGATGGCTAACATTGGGTGTTGACAGAAGTTGACTTTAAGGCAAAAGCGGTTAGAGTCTATGACTCTTTGAAGAGTGCTAGATCTAAATCAAGTGCCCACCATATAGGAATCACACTACCTTATTTACTTCAAGTCATACAATGCCCCAACGACGATGCGGTTTTAGATGATTTCCAACCATGGCCCACAAAGGTAGTTCCCGGTGTACCGCAACAACGAGGGTATAAAAATTTGCACCCATCTTATTGTCTGTGCACAGCATAATATTGTTTGTGGACACCGTTTAGTACATATTATTGTCTGGTTTTCAGGACTGGGGACTGCGGGGTGATGGCGATGGCGTTTGCGGAGCATTTGGCATTGCAATATCCCTTGACACCCGGATGTGACAATGACAACATGTGGAACATGAGATGGCAGTTTGCGGTGCGCCTATGGCGTGTAAAGAAGACTGATGTTTGACATTGTTTAGTTTACGTTACTAGTGTAATTGACGTTATGTTTTGGGTTGTTGTACAATAGTGATGTAGTTTTTGTACAAGGTTGTACACTTGAATGCCTAACTTTAATGCTTCTCTTTTTTGTCAACATTTAATGTGTTTTGGATAAAGCAATTGTAAAGTTTTTGGAATGGAAATGTGTTGTGGTAACATGTTGTATAACTGTGTGTTGTTGTTGTTGTTACTATTGGTTATTAATATTTGTATGCACGTAAACTATAGTCATATTGTCTGTGTTCACCAACACAAAAACTTACGTCCCAAAATAATAGTTAAATAAGCTTGTCTATTAAAAGAAGTTGATTGATTCGTGGAATACACTTTTTTGTGTCATAACATAGTCGGGTCAACAAAAAGGTTAACAAAATACACGCACACACTCCGTGCAATTACAACACACCCAATGTCATATTCAAATCTAAATCTAAATATTGAACATTTGAACTTTCCACCTTAGGTCCAATTTCAGCAACATTCGCTTGGCCGTTTTGTTTCGTAGCCCTTATCTAATCAATTGCGAAAACACGTGTTAGTGCATATGAAAAAGCAACCCATATTCATATACAAGTAAAAAAAACTTACAGTTTTGATTTTCTCTCTTTTCAAGTGGTCCCTTAAGGCGGTTTTAAAATGTAAGGTTGTGATATTACCCATGAGCCATGAGCCCACATAATCTGTCTTTGCTCTTATTCTCGCTAAGCACCCATTTTGCATGGAAGGTTGGGGTTTCAAACAGTTTTTCGACCTACTACATCTTGTGCCTGCACGTGAGCACTCAACTACAAACGCGATCAAGTTCCCTACTTTATCCTTCCTTGAAGTGCGATGTCTAACAGGAAAGCCAACACTTTTGACATACTTTTTGTAGAAATCATAAACTGCATCTTTTGTAGAAAACTCCATGCCTATCTTTGGAATTTGTTCACATTTATCACCATTGTTATCTCCATCTGTTCACATAATTAAATAATTATTCTACCCTTGTAGGTGGACATTACTAACATTCAATACATATATACAATACATTTTTATAGCTACGTACCAATAACATTCATACATACAATACATCTTAGTACTAGGGTATATATTAACAATACTCATAGATAAAATACAATCTTGATAGGTATAAATTAACAACATTCATACATAAAATACATCTTTAATTTGTAGGTATACATTAACAACACTCATAGATACAAATCATCTTTGTAGGTGTACATTAACTCAATGAGGATTTCTTCAGTTGTCAATACATACCCACATTACTTGTCGGTAGGTACGTATTCGTAGCAACTTTCATACATGAAGTCGTCAGTAAACTGAATGAGGAAAAATTATGTACTCTGTACACACCGACATTAGTTGTCGGTACAAGCAAACGACGAAGACCAAGTAACATGTGTGTGTGTGTGCGCGCGCTTGCATGTCCACATACACTGAGTATGTAAGATGTATGTGTGTGTCAAAGAAAAAACCTCCAACATATTTGTTCGTCTTCTCCCTGCTATTCCCTTCCCCGTCAAATATGTCATCATCCTGGCCGTCAAATATCAGAACTTCATTGCGACCTTGTGTCGCAGGTCCGCCACCCGTCCCACCAGCGTTGTTCGGAGTCCCATCTTCATCGTTCACAACTCCACCATTCCCGTCCTTCGTCGCAGCTCCATCTTCTTCGTTCACAGCTCACCATTTTCGACGTTCAGAGCTTCTTCGTTTCTTCCATTTCCGTCGTCTGTCGCTGGTAGGTATCGTCCAAAGCTCCGTCGTTTCTGGACACTTCTCTATCAACCATCAAATATGCTAGAAAATCATCCATGATATTTGGGAAAAATTAAAAAACAGAGAGAAAGGCAGGAAAAAGAGAAAGAACAGGGGTGAGGGATGTGAGAGAGAAAGAAATGTGTGTGAGGATGGGGGGGGGGGGGGGGGGGGGGATGTGCGACAAGAGGGGTAAAGAAAGCAGTAAAAAATAAGGCTTATGCATGGTGTACCCAAAGTGTACACCAAGACTTTTTGTAAAAATATTGGGTACAAAGTTACAAACTAGATAATTCAGCTCAGGTCCTTATAACACAAAATGATTATCTTTGATTAAAATTTAGAGGGAGATTTCCCTAAATAAGACTAAATAAAAGGATAATTTCAAGGGAAAATTACCGAAATAGGAGTAAAAAAGATTCAAAATTTCAAAATAGGTCTGTCATTTTTTATTCCCAAAATAGGTGATGGATAGTGTACCCGGGGGTAGCTTATCCGAGGGTTATTGCGGGGAGTAACAAGAGAGAAGTCAGAGCAAGTGAATATAGAGAGAGAAAGTAGATTATAAGTGTGGAGCGTTTTCAGCGTGGTTACAAATGGGGAAATGGGGTGCTATTTATAGTAGCAATAAATGCCGGACAGGGACACGTGTCAAGCGCCCATTGGCCGAGAGGTCACCTCAACTGGTTGGCGCTGGCAGCCGCATGTGGCCGCATTTAATGCGGCTGTTGGATGGGATGTTGTACAGGGTACAGTGATCTGTACGTATGTGGCGCGGATATTATGTCGGGAGAGGTGCCCTCGGCTGCAGAGGACTAGCCGAGGGCTCTTAGTGCCGAGGACCCCTGAGTGCCGAGGGCTCCAGGTGCTGAGGGCTACTATTTTCCCCGTTTTCTCCCAGTTCCCCTGTTTGTTCGAAATATCCATGCTGTGATAGTTTGGAGCCCTCGGTCAGGGGGCCGAGGGCACCCCAGTGTGCCTTGAGGGTTGATTTGTGCTTGGGGCGTTATAATTTTGGGCCTGCAATGCTTCTTGGGCTTGTTGGGCCTTTGTTGGAGTAGTGGGAGTCTGTGGGATGGGGGTTCCCGGGCCATATACTCCATCACGAGTCCCTCACTCCTTTTGCCGAAAGGTACTTGAGGGAAAAGGAGTAAACTGTGTCTGCCATTTGATGTTGCTCCGTTGTAGTTTGGTGAGGAGTTGTTGTTTGCGTGTCCCTGCCGAAGGCAGTCCCTCAGTTACCCACATGTCGGGACTTGAGGGATTGCTTTGCCATCTGTAAGGGTTTTTGATATTTTTGTATTTTTGTGATTTTCCCGGAGGGGTTCTCCAGTCCCCCACTCCTTGAGGCACTTGTAAAGTGGTGAAAAGGAGTAAAGTATTATCCGTTGCTGTATGTGGCCGAAGGTTAACGCTTTTCGTTTCATTTTGGGGGGATGCCTCGTTAAAAACCTAACTAGGAAAAACCCTGTGGGAAAAAATCCTAATGAGGGAAAAAGAGTGCACCGAATTCCCCCAATGATGAATCGAAAACGTGAAACCTTGGTTCGAAATGGAGAATAACGGTAATGCCGAAGGCTCTCCTTGTTCTGAGGGCTCATGTGTTGTTTAGCCGAAGGCTTGCTGTTGATGTCCTGGGGGTGCCGAAGGGGAGCCCCTCAATCTTGGGATCGAGGGCATGATGGATGAGGGCAGTAGTTGAATTGTCGCCGGGGGGTCCCCTGCTTGGTGGTTAGTTGGTGATGAGGATATCCGAGGGCTCCCATTACCTGTGTGCTGTAGGCTATCCGTCAATGAGGCATACTCCCCGGGGGCTACCCGGCCCTTACAGTGCTGAGGGGGAATCCCCGAGGGGTGGCCTGTCATGAAGCCTTGGGCTTCTGAAGGAGTGATGCCGAAGGCGCCTGTTATGTGCTGTGTGGGCACAACCCGGGGGCGCCTCTGGGTAAGTGTACCCGGAGGCTCTCCTTGATGAAGTGGAGTGAAGTAGAAAACCCAAAGGCTTCCAGAATATAGCCGTTGGAAATATAGCCATTGGAATATGTATCGTCGGGATATAGCCGTTGGGGGAGGTGGACACGTGGAGTGTAGCCGTTGGCTGCTCGTGGGCGGGCGTCACCGGTTGGGTGAAACGACGGTATGTAATGATGGCTTTGGCCGCTGGGGGCCCGGATCTCGGCCCAAGCCCGGATCTGGGAGCCTATAAATACCCCAAGCCAATGCCATTCCTCCTTTACACATCCAACATCCTTAGCGAAGCTCTGCCAAAATTTCTAGAGAGAGAAACAGCAGCCCTCGGTTGAATCCTCTGTTCTTAAGGTCAGTTCCCCCCTGCCCTTCTCCTTCTAATTAGCCGTGCCTTGTGCCCTTAGGTTAGGAGATAGAATTTTCTAGGAAAACCTTAGTTCTCCCGAGCCCTCGAGCTAGAGCCATAATGTCGTCCCAGAGTGATTCTCAAAACATCTCGGGGGCGCCCTCGATGGAGGATGAAGTCCTCTCGGATGTGGAGTCCTCCAGTGCACAGTCCTCGACCCAGGAGGACGTTGCGATGGCTGTAGAGGTGCAGAAGGAGCTGCTAGCTGAAGTTGAAGCCGAGGGCTTCGAGCAAGAGGTGGAAGACGAAGAGCTGGCCCTCGCCATGCAAGTTGCAGAGGAGGAGGAAGCAAAGGAGAGTACGAAGGTTACAATTGCTGTTTTCCCCCCCGGGGTTCTGGGGAAGCAAGTAGCTCGAGGCTGCTAGATCCGACAGCTTTGAGGGCGGTCTCCGGGTTGAAGAAGAAGAAGGCGAAGGCCGCTACCAAAAAGAAGGAGAGGGCTGTTGATCAAGGAAAGCCAGTGGACATGCCCGAGGGGTACAGTTGGTTGAACACCGAGGCCCTCGGGATTAAGTCGAAAGCCGATAGGGCAGATTTGTATGTTACTCAGCTGCACGTGGGGCCCTCGGCCGAAGTGGTGGAGCCGGGTCCTGACGACGTGTTGTCCAGGGCGCCCGAGGGGTGTATCGCCGTCCACATCCTCTCGGTTTCTATGGGACTTAGGTTCCCTCTGCACCCGTTCCTTCGGGAGTACCTGAGGTTTGTTGGTTTGGTCCCCTGCCAGCTTACGCCCAACAACCACTCCTACATCACGGGGTTCCTCCAGCTCTGCAAGTCCCGAGGGGTGAAGCCCAGCCTGGATCTATTATTCCAGAGTTTTAACCTGTGCCGAGGGGGGCACGAAAACGGCGAGGGATACGCGAATTTGCAGCAGATCGCCCGTTTCAAACTATTCTCTGACGCCCCTTCTTCAAACAAAGGGTGGAGGGAACGTTGGTGTTATGTGAAGCTGGACGAGAACCCATTCCCGAGGGAACTGCGCGATCGATTCCGAAGGCAAGAAAAGATCATGAGT